GGGGGGGGGGGGGGGCAGGGCTAGGTGGAAATGAAGGGGCAGGCAAGCTTCCTTTCTGATAACATGGCACCTGCCCCAGGTCACTTCTAGAATCCACAGGCCGTGCGGGTGGCAGAGCCCAGGACTGGCCCCTGGTCCACAGCTGTCGGGTCTTGTCTTTACTCAGAAGGTACCTGGCACACCCCACCTGCGGAAGCTCTCCAGAGCACGGGCCGCGTTGCCCAGGGTCTGACAGCCAAGCCTCACTGCTCCAGGGCCATGCATCCCTGAGCCCTCTGCCATCAGGCTTTCTGTCTGCAGGGCTGGTGCAATGCCTAAATTCAGACTTTCCATCTGTGTGCTCTGAATCCAGCATTTATCTGCCCTGACAGCTCCGGTGCCTGCAGCCTGAACAGGGTAGGATGGCACAGGGGCTCGGGGGCTCCTAGGCCGGCGTGGCACACATTATGGCTCAACCAGAGGACAGAAAGGTGCCCCAGCTGTCCCTGTAGAGCGCAGCGGGCTGGCAAATGGGAGCGAGGGGCTGGAGGGCCAGGCGCCAGTGACGCACGGAGAGGAAACAGACACAGACTGATTGTCTGAGGAGCCCGGCTCTCCCCAGACACGGCCTGCTGCGCACACAAGCACCGCCAGCCAGGGAAAAATAGACGTCCCGGCTGCACTGTTGACAGAACACAAAGGCCTCGACTGACCAGCTGATGTAACATTACCTGCATTTTGGGGGGAATGTTCATTATTATTTAGTTTATCAGTTTGGTCCGAAGAGCCAAGCTATATTAGATTTTTAAAAATCTGCTAAAAACATCATCCTTGATTTTTCTTTTTTCCTAGAAGGGGTTTGGTGAGATGCTCTTAGAGTGAATCTGGCCTGGCCCTGGGGCAGCGGAGGCTGCTCCCATGCAGGGCGTCTCACTGTCCTGCACCGGCTCCACCGTAAGCAGCTGCCACGGGAGAAGGAGAACCGCCACATCTCAGCTCCGGCCGATCCTCGGGGGGACACACTCTGGACACTAACGCTTTCTTGACAGCCAAGGCTCTGAACTCTTTACAGCCCCAACATGCTCACCATCTTCTAAGACTTTCCTGACTCTTGTTTCCCAACCTAAGTGCGTCCTCCCAGCACGACGGCCCGGCCAGAGGCCTCTGGGGAGCTGCCTGGTCACAGCCCTGCCCTCTGCCGGCTGCACTATTATCAACCTGTTTCTCAGACAGGGACGCTGAGGGGCAGAGGAAAAACAGCTCCGGTGGCGACACCGCCTGAAAGAGGCACCAGAGCCCGGGCCTCCCTGGCCGGTCCCAGGGTTCTGCTTTCTGAGGTTCCGTCCAAGGCCATGGTTCTACTGTCTTCTTTTTTGGATGTCAGTTGACCCTCAGTCTGTGTGTCTGTCTGGAACAGTCCATCTCCTAATCAGCTCAAAATGTTGGAGATAGGAAAAGAAGCCCCTCATTTTAGAGAAAGAAACAGGGGTGCTAGGATGCTGGAGAGGGTTCACTCATCTCAGGCGTGAAAAATCAACAGTGAATAAATCACATGCGGAAGGTACAGGCTCTGACATCTCTTTTCTATCTCTCTCTACAGCAGGCTTTGCTGGATTCTTGGCTCTCAGCCGAGGTCTGAGAGGCAAGGCTGCCGGCCAGCTGAGATTCAGAGCATGAAGCATTTACTGGGCTGTGTGGGAGCCCTGGGGCCACAGGTCACCCCCACGTACACACAGTCCCCGGGACACAGGTCACCCCCACGTACACGCAGTCCCCGGGACACAGGGCACCCCCACGTACACGCAGTCCCCGGGACACAGGGCACCCCCACGTACACGCAGTCCCCGGGACACAGGGCACCCCCACGTACACGCAGTCCCCGGGACACAGGGCACCCCCACGTACACGCAGTCCCCGGGACACAGGGCACCCCCACGTACACGCAGTCCCCGGGACACAGGGCACCCCCACGTACACGCAGTCCCCGGGACACAGGGCACCCCCACGTACACGCAGTCCCCGGGACACAGGGCACCCCCACGTACACGCAGTCCCCGGGACACAGGGCACCCCCACGTACACGCAGTCCCCGGGACACAGGGCACCCCCACGTACACGCAGTCCCCGGGACACAGGGCACCCCCACGTACACGCAGTCCCCGGGACACAGGGCACCCCCACGTACACGCAGTCCCCGGGACACAGGGCACCCCCACGTACACGCAGTCCCCGGGACACAGGGCACCCCCACGTACACGCAGTCCCCGGGACACAGGGCACCCCCACGTACACGCAGTCCCCGGGACACAGGGCACCCCCACGTACACGCAGTCCCCGGGACACAGGGCACCCCCACGTACACGCAGTCCCCGGGACACAGGGCACCCCCACGTACACGCAGTCCCCGGGACACAGGGCACCCCCACGTACACGCAGTCCCCGGGACACAGGGCACCCCCACGTACACGCAGTCCCCGGGACACAGGGCACCCCCACGTACACGCAGTCCCCGGGACACAGGGCACCCCCACGTACACGCAGTCCCCGGGACACAGGGCACCCCCACGTACACGCAGTCCCCGGGACACAGGGCACCCCCACGTACACGCAGTCCCCGGGACACAGGGCACCCCCACGTACACGCAGTCCCCGGGACACAGGGCACCCCCACGTACACGCAGTCCCCGGGACACAGGGCACCCCCACGTACACGCAGTCCCCGGGACACAGGGCACCCCCACGTACACGCAGTCCCCGGGACACAGGGCACCCCCACGTACACGCAGTCCCCGGGACACAGGGCACCCCCACGTACACGCAGTCCCCGGGACACAGGGCACCCCCACGTACACGCAGTCCCCGGGACACAGGGCACCCCCACGTACACGCAGTCCCCGGGACACAGGGCACCCCCACGTACACGCAGTCCCCGGGACACAGGGCACCCCCACGTACACGCAGTCCCCGGGACACAGGGCACCCCCACGTACACGCAGTCCCCGGGACACAGGGCACCCCCACGTACACGCAGTCCCCGGGACACAGGGCACCCCCACGTACACGCAGTCCCCGGGACACAGGGCACCCCCACGTACACGCAGTCCCCGGGACACAGGGCACCCCCACGTACACGCAGTCCCCGGGACACAGGGCACCCCCACGTACACGCAGTCCCCGGGACACAGGGCACCCCCACGTACACGCAGTCCCCGGGACACAGGTCACCCCCACGTACACACAGTCCCCGGGACACAGGTCACCCCCACGTACACACAGTCCCGAGGACACAGGGACAACAATAGAAGCCTGCTCCTCAGGCAGGGCTAGCGCGACTCCCGTGCACCCATCAGCTTCGTGAAGCTCCTCACGAGAACAGGGTTTCCCCAGGTGGGGTCCAGGAGCCCCTGGGGTCCTCAGGCCCTTTCAGCGGGTGTGTGACGTTAAAACTTCTGTCAGATTTATGCTAAGGCCCTACAGCCCCTTTCAATCTCATTTTTCCAAAGTGCAGGAAGGAGTGTTCCGGAAGCTGCAGGACGGGCAGCGCCCATGTGGCTGCATCACCCGGTGTCCTCACCGCTCTCAGCCTTACCTTCTAACACAGCAAGCGCTGCTCGGTACGGCCTACGTGAACAAAGCTCTCTGGGGCCTTCAATGTGAAGTTTTAAGAAGGTAAAGAAAGTATCAGACAAATCACTGTGGGACCCCGCGGCGGGAGCGTTTGAGGGGTCACACTTGAGCCGCGAGCACCCCCAGGAAACTGGCAGGGTCATTCAGATAAACGTTCCCCAGAAAGGTTCCACCACGGCGGGACGTGGGTGGCCCGCGGGCAGGAGAGGCTGACAGCCAGGCCGCGGGGCCCTGGAGTCACGGGTGAGCGGGGCGGATGGGCTTCCAGCAGGCAATGGACGCTGCGGTGAGGGGGAGGGTGGACAGGGCAGACCCGCATCGGCCTGGCGTCTCCACACCGGCTCCCACGGGGCCGGCTCTGTACGCCAAGCCGGTGCCAGGGACGGGAACCACGCCTACCGTCTAGGGGAGGCAAGGCCGTTTCTATCCCCTGGTGAACCCCACCAGCTGAACACAGGGGCGCTCTTGGCCGTGGCCCGGCTCGGCCGCGTGCAGGCGCCGTCGCCGTCCCTGGGACCCGCGCAGCACCTACCGCCTTTTAAGTCCGCAGACGCGCCCACGTACTGAAAGTTGTCCATGTTGATGACGTCGATGATGGGGGACACGACGCGGGTCCTGTCCTGCAACGCAGCGAAGGCAACAGCAGGTGTCAGAGGCAGCCGGGACCCGCACAGGCGGAGGCCTGAGCGTCACCGCTCACAGGGAGACCGCCGCGCCGGTCCCCTGCCACCCCACGCCGCGCTGGGTGTCGGGGGCGCAGAGGACGCTGCCCCCCAGGAGGCGCCCGAGCGCACGGGGCCGCCCTGCGGGTGTTCACTGACTGAGAGCAAGCTTCTCCCGGGACCGTTCCTGAGTTTTTTTTTTCCCCCCCTAACAGCCAGGAGCAAATATCAGTTTTTATTAATTCCAAAGAAGGAGTTCTCAGAGCGCGCCAGCGTGAGACTAGAGTGTTTTACTTAGTGTTTTCCCAAATGTCAAACCTCAACCATGGAGTAACTTTCATTCTAACAGGATCTAAGCTCGGCTGTACTTAAACATCAGTGAGCTGCAGGAAACCTCAGGAAAGGACTCACGGCTGAGACGCCCACACAGATGCCACCACAGGCCTGGGAGCCGAGTGCGGTGTAGAGGCTCCAACCTCATCACGGCGGACGGTGACCGAACTGACTGGAGAACCCGGAGCCCGAGTCTGTCTTAGCCGTGATTCCACCAAACACAAAACATTCCCTTAGGCCGAGGCCTTTCTTTATGCCACACTGTCACTGCTCTGGTTAGAGTTTGTGAACACAAGACCTTTGAACTCTCCTGCCCTCTTTAAACTGGGCTAGCTGGTGCTGGGGAGGAACTCTGCCCCACGCCGACAGGGAACACAAGGGTGACGCTTCCCTGAGCCACGGCAAGAACCTGAATCAGCCAGAGAAAGACTTCGAAAAACAAACTAGTAACAGGGCAAGCAGAGCTAAGAACATAACACATCAGAGGACCACGCTCAGAGGACAGAGGGACGTTCCACCACCACCAGGTGCAGGTTTACAGTGTGGAGCCCCAAGCGCAGAGGGTGACGTCCTCCATGCCTGGCTCAGCCCGGGGATGGCGCCACAGATGGTAAACTGCTGCACGTCCAAGTCCACTCCCTTTATTTTGATTTCTTTTGATAGGACTAGAATGAGGGAGAATGACCATTCTATTCTCAGGAGGTGGGGGGCTGTTTAAATAACCCTGACAGTCTGACCACGAAGCAGGCAGCCTCCACGTGCCCGGATATCTTGCGCAGCTTTCATTTTGCCTCTGCGTCCCTGGGACGCACGGCCTGGTGGAGTGAGTAGCCGGGGACGGGGCCCCCGGGATGGGCATGCGTGTGTGTGTGTGAGAGGACTCAGGGAGGGACTCAGCGAATCCCGCTTTGTAGCCTGGGCTCTGCCCCCTGTATGAGTTTTGGTTAAGTGATTAAAGTTCCCTGAACCCCCAGTTCCCTCAACTGTCAAATGGCGGCGAAACCCTGGATTAAGGTAACGTGTAAAGCATCCAGCACGTAGTTAGCGCTCAGTAAACGGCAGTGAACGTGAGGGTCACAGCACTAGTAGTTTGTCTTATTCATGTCTCAGGACTCACTGTCCAACTGCGATCCCTGCTATGGTGCAAAAAGAATGACTTTACTATTTCTCTAGTACTTTCATTACATCCACTTTACTGTCTCAAGGAAGTGCTTTCTTAGTAGGGAAGAAAGGAAGTCAATAAGGCAAGCAGAAGGCGAGAGAGATACCACAGGAGGCCAAAGGTCATACTAGTGATGATGTTTCTAGAAGGCGACAATCTCGGGTCAACTGACAGCCTCATGCGTCCCTGTGTGGTTGGGACTGCCCCTCCCCACGAGCCGCAGCCTGGGTCTCAGGGCAGCACGGCCGGGCTGGGGACCCTGCGGTCTCTGTCCTCAGCTCTCTGCCCCCTCTGAGCTCAGAGAGTCAGTGCAAAGCTTCAGGCAGGGAAGGAAGACCCCCTTAGGCGAAGGGCTGTCATAGCCTCTGCTGACCCTGGCCTCCTACCTGACAAATGAATTTCCCCTATTGATAGATTCCTGCGGAGGATAAAATCCTCGTAGGACCATGTCACAGAGGCCCTTCCCCTGGCCCGCATCCTCACCTCGGCCACCCTCTCCAGGAGGGGCTCCAGCCAGTACTCGTTGCACTCGCAGTGGCTGTCCAGGAACGTCAGGACCTTGGCCTGGGCCGCGTCGGCCCCCCGCACCCGCGAGCGCATCAGGCCTGTGGAGTGAGTTCAAAAACACGTCGGGGGAGAATGCCCAGGGAATGCAAGAAAAAGAAACAAGAACTGTACCCCCAGCACCTGCACCGACACCTTCCCATGCAGCCCTCTTGCTGGGCACGGAGTTTATCGCCAACATGCGTGGAGGGATCAATACTGCCTTGCAGTTAGCCAGGTAAAAGTTCTGTCAGGACCTTCTTTTTTTAAGTTAATTGGAAGACTGAGAAAACAACTTGGAACTACTGCCTTATGAGGAAGGCTTTCACATAACTGAAGTCTCCTTCATCAAGCAATTGAAATGCGGAACTTCTAAAACTACTCCCCTCTGACACAGCAACGGAGTTTTCTAATTAACTGGGCTAAGGCACGTGTCACCCAGACACTTCAAGTGCTGATGGGGCCAAATTTAACGGTGATAATTTAATGATAACAGTGTTGTGAATATCTGTGTGTTCTAAGACTCACCACGAGCCAAATTAACATAAATGATAAAGCCCAGTTGTTTGGCTGTTACACAAAATTAGTTACACTGTTGGTCAAATTACACAATTTATATAGCTGTGATCTGTTAGTAATATCATTTTTTATTATCACACATAGTAATATTCATCACTAGATGGTGTGGTCACAAGTGGCTTCCGCTATGTACGCTGGGCTTTTATCTATCCATGGAGATGTGAGATTATTCACAACCGGTAAAGACAGTGTTGCGAGTTCTTCATGCAGCACAGTGGTCAGAAAGGGTTTTCCATGATTCTTAAAGAGCTGCATGCTAGAGTAGGAGAAAGGGCAACGATTTCTAGTTCTGGTGTTATGGAGCAGCTTGTAATAGGCAAACCCTCTGTCAGAGAACAAGTATAAACTGAGCAAAACAGAAAATGCAACTATAGGAAAGGGCTAGAGTAGCTGAGGGCAGGCAGAAACTAGAGGGCATTCAACCCTTAAAAGAAGAAAATCACAAGAGTGAAACCCCTGTAAACATGGTATTTGCCCCCGATGTTACTCTCCAATCCACCGCAGTGCAGCCTTTTTTGGCTTGAGGTGTCAGAGGGTAGAGTTTGGGGCTGGAGAGTGGCTGGAAACAGAAGGAGGAGACCCTGGGAAGGAGCCAAGTCCCAAATCTGGTGATAACTGCCCTTAAATCCTTGGCTGACGCCTGAACCTGCAGGCACAGGGGAGACCCCAAGGAGTCCATGAAGAGAAACAGAAGACAGAAAGAACTAAGATTTCAGCTGGAATCAGGGACACAATTTCTGCCAATTGAGTCGTACCTAGAAGGACTTGGCAAACACCTCATTTCTACAGAAACTCCAGAGGGAACACATTTAGGAGTACGGACTATGTCTCAGGAATAAGGGAGTCATCCAAGATACACTTATGCTAGCAAAGTACAAAGACAAGCCTACACAAGTTCAAAGTCATGAGCTAGTAATTTAATTGCCCAGTACAACAAAGATCAACACCCTAGAGAAAGATAACAGAATCCAGTGTCTCTACAACATACCGTTCACAATATCCAATATAAAATTTAAAAAATTAGTAGACAAGCGAAGAGAAAAATGTGATCCATATCCAAGAGAAAAAAAGTCAATAGAAACTCACTCTGAGATGACTCAGATGGTGAAATTAACAGATGAGGATTTTAAAGCAGCTATTATGATAACTATACCCAAGAACTCCAAGGAAATGATCATTGGAATGAGCAAACATGGGGAATCTCAGCAGAGAAATGAAAACCACAAGAATTAAATGGATATTCCAAAACTGAAAACTGCAATTTTCTGAAATGAAAGAATTCACTGACGGCGCGTAACAGCAGATTAGAGATGTCGGAAGGACCAGTGAACTTGAAGATGGATCAATAGAGATTGATCTATCTGGTGAACAGAGAAAAAATACTGAAAGAGAAAAAAAGCCTGAGTAACCTATGGACAGTATCAAGTGGTATATCATATGTGCGCCTAGAGTCCAAGAATGAGGCATAAAACAATATATGAAGAAATAAAAGGCCCAAAATTTCCCAAATTTGGTGAAAACTTCAACTTACAAATTCAAAGGGATCAGCAAACCTGGAGCAGGATAAATAAAAAGCAAATCAAATCTAGGCAAGTCACAGTCAAACTGCTAAAAACCAAAGATAAAGAGACAATCTGGAAATCAGTGAGAGGAAACAACCCATAACACACAAGGAATCAACGATTAGCTGACAGCTACATTCTAAACAGAAAAACAGAGGCCAGAAGACATTGGAATGACATTTTCAGAGTGCTGAAAGAAAAACTAACGGTCAACTCAGAATTCCATTCAGAGAAAATACTCTTCAGCAATAAAGGAGAAAGAAAGACTTTTCAGATAAACAGAAATTGAGAGATTTTATTGCCTACAAGAAAAAATAAAGTTCTAAACGTTCTCTGGGCTGAAAGGAAATGACACTAGATGGAAACCTGAATCTGTGGGGAAAAATGAAGATACTAGAAACGAAAAATACGAGGATAAATTTTAGAGTCCATTTATACATTCTAATTACTTTATAACTGATTAGTTAAAGCAAACATTTTAACACTGCACTGTGGGGTTTAAAACATCATTAACAACATATGAAGGAAACCACATGACAACAGCAGTACACAGGACAGGGAACAGAAATGGAATTAAAACTGTTGCAAGGTTCTTACGTTTAAGGTAAAGTTGTATGGACTCTAAATAGACTGTTATAAGTTAAAGATGCATGTTGTAATCCTCAGAGAAACCACTAAAAGAAATGTATAGCTAAAATGCTACAAGAAAAATTAAAATGGAACACTAAAAAAAAGAAAAACCAAAAAAACACAAAACATCACTTCAAACTACATTACAAAGCTATAGTAATCAAAACAGTATGGCCTTGGCATAAAAACAGGCACATAGATCAATGGGATAAATGGAGAGCCCAGAAATAAACACACACACATATGGCCATTAGTTTACAACAAAGGAACCAAGAATGCACAATGGGGAAAGGATAGTCTCTTCAATAAACGGTGTTGGGAAACTGGACACCTGCAAAAAAATGAAACTGGACCCCTATCTTACAACACACACAAAAATCAACTCAAAATGGATTAGAGACTTGAACGTTAAGACCTGAAACCATAAAACTCCCAGAAGAAAATATAGGTAAGCTCCTTGACATCAGTGGTGGCAATAATTTTTTTAATTTGACACCAAAGCAGAGGCACCAAAAACAAAAGTAAACAAACGGGATTACATCAAACTAAAAAGCTTCTGCAGAGCAAAAAAAAGTATTCACAAAATGAAAAGGCAACCTATGGAATGGGAGAAAGTATTTGCAAATCATATTAACTGATAAGGGATTAATATCCAAAATATATAAAGAACTCATACGACTCAACAGCAAAACCAAAACCAAAAGCAAAATAATCGGATTAAAAGTGGGCAGAGGAATTTAAAGACTTTTTTTTCCCAAAGAAGACATATAAATGGACAACAGGTCCATGAAAAGGTGCTCAACATCACTAATCATCAGGGGCTTCAAAGCAAAACTACAATAAGATATCACCTCACACTTGTCAGAATGGCTGTCATCAAAAAGACAAGAGAAATCAAGTGTTGGTGAGGACATGGAGAAAGGGGAACCCTTGTGCACTGTTGGTGGGAATGTAAATTGGTGCAGCCACTGTGGAGAACAGTATGGACGGTCTTCAAAAATTAAAAGTAAAACTACCATATGATCCAGCAATTCCAAGGAAATAAAACCACCATCTTGAAGAGATGTCTGCACACCCATGTTCACTGCAGAATTATTTACAATAGCCAAAACACGGAAGTATATTCAAAAGCTGCTAAGAGAGTAGATCTTAAAAAGTTCTCATCACAAGAAAAAATATTTGTCCCTGTGTGAGGTGATGGGCGTTAACTAAACTTAGTGTGGTGGGGCTTCCCTGGTGGTGCAGTGGTTGAGAGTCCCCCTGTCGATGCAGGGGACACGGGTTCGTGCCCCGGTCCGGGAAGATCCCAGATGCCGCAGAGTGGCTGGGCCCGTGAGCCCTGGCCTCTGAGCCTGCGCGTCCGGAGCCTGTGCTCCCCAACGGGAGAGGCCACAACAGTGAGAGGCCCGTGTATCGCAAAAAAATAAATAAATAAAAATAAACTTAGTGTGGTGATCACTTCACAATATATACATATATCAAATCATTATGTTGTACATCTCACACAGTGTTATATGTCAATTATATCTCAATAAACTGGAAAAAAATAAATCAACCAGGCAGGACAGTGGGAATGGAGGAATAAAAAGCACACAGGACAATAGAGAACTTGGCCTATGAACACGGTTTTGGCTCCACTACCATTATTAAATAGCTGGATGACCTTGAAAAAGACACTTAACCTCTTTCAGCCTTAATATTTCCATCTGCACAACGAGAAGGACTAGGTTTTCAACCTTCAAAGTACATCAGTATTATTGAAATTCAGATGTCCAGGCCCCACCCCTAGAAAAACAAAAATTTTTATTCAATTGTGGGTCAGGTCAAGGCATGGTCTTCTTTTATTATTTTTTTATTATTATTATTTTTGTCTGTACGCGGGCCTCTCACTGTTGTGGCCTCTCCCGTTGCGGAGCACAGGCTCCGGACGCGCAGGCTCAGCGGCCATGGCTCACGGGCCCAGCCGCTCCATGGCATGTGGGATCTTCCCGGACCAGGGCACGAACCCGTGTCCCCTGCATCGGCAGACGGACTCTCAACCACTACGCCACCAGGGAAGCCCCATGGTCTTCTTTTAAATTCCCCAAGTGATTGTAATGAATAGCCAGATTAAGAATCGCTGGCACAATTAAATCCCCAGCACTAAATGTATCCAAGGCCATGACTTTATGCAACTGCTTTTCTCTGTCACCTAGTAGCATTGCTATGAACATTTGTGTATATGTTTAACTGTTTGGGATACACACACACAAGCACACATACATTTGTGTGTGTGCATTTTCTCACTCGACTGTCACATTCCTCACTTGTTCCATATAGTTCTACCATAATCTGGCCTCCCACAGCTGCCTCTCTTCATTCCTTCCCAAAACAATGCCTCAATCTGGGTTCTTACCCACAAGAACAGCCTGACTAACGTAAAGCAAATGCACAACTTATATTCAGAAGGACTGCTTTTGATTTCTAAGCAGGTTAAAGGCCCTCTCTGAAAGCTAGCACGTGGTTTGCCAGTTACAAAATGCCCACATGAAAGCTAATTTCTTTCTTTTATTCCCTCCTCCCGCCTCATCTTTTTTCCCCCTGTGCCAGCAGACACTTTGGGTTTGAATTCAACAAGTTATCATGTAGTTTCTTTAGGGGCAAATACAATGCAAGATTCTGGTTTAATCTCAGCTTGGGGGCAGATGTGAGTCCAGCAAACAGCTTGCTTAGGGGCAAGGCTGACCCCATTGTTTATGCATCTTGAACATCTGGATTGATGACCTTAGTTGGTTAAAGTATGGTGTTGATGACATCGCCCTAACGGGCTCACCCACTTTACTGGCTGATTAGACTCTTGCTAAGAAAAACTGTATTTCCCGACTCCAGCTGGATTGCACAGGGGACCAGAAGAAAGACAATGTTCGCTGACCAAACGGCACAGCCACCACTCCAAGATCAACAGTCAGACTCCAACAGCCAAAATGGCACATGTTTTAAAGCTCTGCCATTTTCCTACAGAAAGATTTCTCAGGACCATGGAAGAGCTGAGAATCCAGCCACCAGCTCTGTGCCAGCATGGATGCGCTGGATGTTAATTACATCATGAGTCCGGCTTCCTTTCCAGACACTTCAAAGTAATGCTTTCCTCTCTGGAGCTTCTCTTACAACTACCAATAAAGTGGGCTCGATGAGCCCAGCTCCAGCAACGACAAGACTGACACAGCAGGTTTCAAGGCTGGCAGTTGCAAAATCCAATAAGCACGTAATGCCGCTGCGCTTTCCCTTGTTTTCGATGGTTCACCTTGGGCAGGCTGTCAAACTGGAACCCCAGTTATTTTATCAGATGCCTGCAGCATGGAGTCATTAAAGTTCTCATTGCTAAATCTCTGTTTTTCTTCTAAATTCTAGTCCTCAAGGGACTGATAAGACTTCGTAGGTTGTGAAAGAAAGAGAGAAGCCAGTTTTCTAAATACATAAATAAAAGCGTAAGTTGAACTATTGCCCTGGTGCACAGACAATTTCAATTAGTTAAGCTTTCGATATGCTTCCTAGGTTTGCTGGGAGAGGCTCCCAAGAGGCTCTGTTGGAGAAGGCAGACAAAACACGAGACAGTTCATTGTTCTTGGAGCTGAAATGCTTCTTTACATTATTACTGGGCTCAGGAAAAGTCAGAATTCAACTGTCTTGGTAACGAACTGAGGAAAGTCTTACCTTCTCGCCGATCATTCCTGAGAACCCGCACTTTCTCAATTTTCCCCAAGAGTGCCCCGTCTTCCGCTAAGAAAAGAAAAGAAGCAAAGCTTTTGAACCTCAAGTTAAGTAGCGGAGGGCTCGGTGGGCAGGGACGGTGATTCTCCATCACCTTCGGGCTGGTGAGCCCCTCGGGGCATCAGAGAGGCCCCCTCTTTCTGTGGCCCCTACTTCCGGCCTTTTCTTGAAACTCGTGCTTAGCACCCATAGCCCAGGAAGGCTGATGCCCAGAAGGGTCAGATGGAGGGGGATGCTGGCGGAGGGGAATCGGTCTCTACTTACGGTCATTGCTGTAGTCGTCCACCAAAATGATTTCTTTTATCAGGCGGGGTGGGCTTTTCTTAAGTACGCTGAGGAAAGGCAGAAAGATAAAGCTGCAGGCCTTTCAGGCTATGACTGGGGTGTGCAATTCTCACCCCTTGGCCCCTGTGGGGCTGCACAGTCAGGTGACCTGTCTGCACCCCCACAGACAGCCCCGGCCAGGCTGCGCTGGGGACCCGGCCCTCGTTCGGCATCCCTGCTGGGGGGCGTCCCCTGCCCGCATAAGTGGCAATGGGTGGCAATGGATGGCAGCCGCTGGCCTCACCTGACCACTGTTCTCAGCAAGGCCGACCTGGCTTCATTGTGAAACGTGATCACCACGCTGGTGGCCGGCAGATCTACCCGCCACTGCTTCCGCTGGCACCTGAAGGAGGAGAAAGAGTGACCTGAACGACAAGCCCGGACCAGCCCCGGCCAGGCGCGCCCCCGACGGTGCGGGCAGGTGGCCCTGCAGGACGGGCACTCGGGGTGGACCTGTCGTCTGCAGGGGGTCCTGGCCTATTCCGAGATACGGCGACAACGGCACATAAGGACACAGAAAAACACAACCAGAGCAACATTTTAAAAGATGAGAGATTTCAGTGAAAAGTAACATATTGAGAACATCTTTCTAACATGTTGAAAAAAAAAAGTGTGTTTCAAAACAGTGAAGTCCCATTTAGTCTCACATGCAGATACACCTCTATAGATGTGCTTTTCACAGTTCACAGTGGTTATTTCTGAGCGGTGGAACCAACTGTGCACCACTGCTCTTTTCTCGTTTCCTACTTTGCCTGCAGCAACCACGTGAACCGCTGGGATTCTTCCCAAAGTTGCAAGTGGTACCTGGCGCTACCCCACTGACGGCGCCCCCGATCCTGGAATGCAGGACACACGCCCCTCACCTTGCCAGACCGTGTCCACATGACGTAGGTGACAGCGGTGCAGGCTGCTGCGAGCGAGGGAAGGATGGGTGGGCACCTGAGCCCGTCGGCTCCCCCTTCCACTTGCAGCAGTACTGAAAGAACCCA